GGCTGGATATAGGGTGCAGGTGTGACAAGTGTGCTGTAATGATCTGCTTGTTCTGGTGAGGGCCCCAGCAACGTTTTCTCATCATCAGCCAATTTAAATGGCTTTTGTTTTACTCTCTACCCTCTCCACCTTCATGTCAGTGTAGCTCCACATGCTTATTAAAACGAGGGGCGGAAATAAATAGCAGCTCAAATGTTTCAAAATATGCAGTTTTTAACTACTTTTTTTTTTCTTTCTTACAAATGTCTATAAAGCTGGTGTTACATTCAAATGCCATTTTTAAAACTCATTAGCTTGCTGCTCTCCATCCAAATTTGCACTATTAAAACCAGGAGGCTAACCTTTTCTGTTTTTTTAAGGTCCCCAGTGGCGACATCAGCTGCAGCTAATTTCAGACAATTTAATAAATACCATTAATAATTTTTCTCTTTTCCTTTTTTTTTTTTTGGTGCTGCAATACTGGAAATGTATCCTTTTGGATTACAGAGAAACAGAGGCACAGACCAATTGGATATCACGGCTCTGCTTCTACGAAAGAGAGTCTATTCACGGCGCACGGATGTTTACGCCACTGCCAGCGTCTTCTAAATGCTCATTAATTTTATCCCTTCGTGGCAAAATCATTTCAAGGAGAGGCAATTCAGCCTCCTGTTCCTTTCAATTCACCGCTCATGTCAATCAAGCCCTCCTGCAGTATCCTGCAGAATGGAGGTGTTATATTCCTGCAATTATCATGTCATATACTCGAAAATGTAAATGAACGTGTGTGTAAAATTAAATTTATGGGTTGTCAGTGAAGAATAAGAACCAGGAGAGCAATTACTTATCTGCTTTCATCTTGGAGCCTCTGATACGTCAAGCAGAAAAGCATGCAGTTAAATGCTGGAATTAGCATTGTGCTGCACTTCACAATAGACGTGGGCCAGTGCCTTTTCTCCCCTTTCTTTCTTCCTTCTGCCTTTTCTCTCTTTTTGGTTCCCCTTTATTTTATTTTATATTTTTTGTTTGGAGCAGTGAAATGAAGATGATTTTCACCCATTATGTCTCTAAAAAGTTAATAAAAGCGTAAAGAGAGCTTCCTCATCTCATAACTTGGTTGCTTTCTGTTTTTATTGATTTTTTCTGTTTTGTTTAGTTGTATCCATTGATGCTAAAATCCCTGACTTTGAATGGTTATAGTTTATCAGTTCTAAGCTAAAAAACAGTTAGAAATAACATGCAGAAAATATATGCATCTGCATACTTTGTGCTAACTCCCCCCCAAAAAAAGATGCAATCCTGTGCCTGCATCGCTTATTTCCCCCTCTCTTTTTTGTAAACTTAAACATCTCTGAGCCAGCACCCAATTAATAGTCTTAATGAGTGCATCTCTCGTGTTGTTTCTCGGCTGCACGCATCCCATTGTAATGGCATCTAACACAAAAACAGGAGTGACTGCAGGGGTAATTACTTACCTTGCAAATATACCTATAAGGGTTAATAGCATTGAAGGTGTAAGCACAGCATTTGCATAATTACACGTGGACTGTTTAATTTGCAACTTTCTGACGGCTTTTGTTCCGCACCTTGTGCATTTTCTCTTGTACTCTTGCATCGAGGAGTCCAGAGAAGAAAAGAGATGTACCACAACAACATCCTCCTCCTCCTCCTCCTCCATCTCTTCCACCTTAGATGGAGTCCCTTCTCTCTAAGACCCTAATGAACAATGGAGGCAGGATTTGTTTGAATATGAATATGAATGTGCAGCGGGGCCGGCTGGAAGTTGACCTTCAGCTGTGATTTTCAGTTCATCAGGATTAGTCAAGGCGGGCGATCAGGAGCCACTAATGCATAATGACTTCTAAAATGAAAAATGTGTAGTGACCATGCAAATGTCTCGGCTAATCAAAGAGGGGGGAAAACCTGGGGGTGGGGGGTAGGCGTTGAGGAGAGGAGAGCTAAACAAGGACGTGTCAAGGCCTGACAGAGAGAGAACGGGAGAGAGAGGAAGAGGGAGGGAGGAGAGACGCACATGGAAAGTAATCAAGCCAGCTTGATTAGCTGGCGATGAGGACAGGGACGTCTTATTGGCCCCTTGACACTCCATATAGGCTAGCTACTGTCATGGCACCTCTATGCTAAGCAGTGTCGCAGTTCAGTAAAAGTGTTACTACATGTTGATATTTTAATTATGTTAAGGTCTAAAATGCCTGCCTGTTTACCATTCAGCTCCAGGATGCCACAACAAACTAATTTGTATCTGCAAATGTTGGAAATGTGCCACTTTAGTCTTCTTATTCAGTAAAAAAGTGTTGAGCTGTTGTGTTACTGAACCGAACTGAACACTAAATCATTCACTCATGTTGGCTTCTCTTTTCCATAACTGAGGAGTAAACAAACACACACACAAAAGTCATTCAATATTTAAGCAGCTACAAGGAGAAAAAATTCCACAATATCACTGCAAGCCTACTCTCCCCTGTTAGAACGTGTGCATGCAATCAAAGCCCGAAGAGAAACGTATCATCGTTCTACTGATCTGCTGCCTCAGAAGTGGCTCGCACTGTCTCCTCAGAAGAATGTGGCATAAGCAGCGTACGCATCTTGGTTTTGTTTTGGAGATGTTCTTCTACTGTATTACCTAAAAGGGGCATGCATTTTTCAAAATTACGTAGCCTACTACACCAGCAGCCTTTATGAGAACTTAAGAGTTGCTTTCACACCGTTCCAACAGATTAAAAAAGAATACTTCAGGTACGCCCCAAACTCCCATGACATAATGCTGATTGTTCCTGCCATGCGTCCACTTCATCAGCGTAGTTTCAATCAACTTTAGAGTTGTGCATTTTTTCACGCTGTTTCATAATAGCGGTGCTGATAAAGTGGGGGAGTTCAAGGGTCCTGCTAATTAAGGTCTATGTCTATTTAAATCCTTTACTTTTCCCAGCGGGGTAAAGGAAGGAAAATAAGATGAGCAACACAAAGGCACGGCACCCATCTGTCCTTCAGCATCTCCTCTAGGCTGCAAAGCGTCACGGCCATGAGAGGCCTGCTCTCCCTACCTCTCCAACCACCAATTACCACACTTCCAGCAGATCCATGCCACTATGCCTGAAAACTTATTCAGCTCTTCGTTTCTTTGTTTTTCCCCATCATCGTCCATGTATAGGTTCCAGTGTCAGTGGCCATGATGAGTCCCCAGGTGATGACGCCGCAGCAGATGCAGCAGATCCTCCAGCAGCAGGTGCTTTCCCCCCAGCAGCTCCAGGCCCTGCTCCAGCAGCAGCAGGCTGTAATGCTGCAGCAGGTACGCACACTCCAACCTACATGCACCGTGTGAACATTGTCACACTCATGCTGTGACATACCCCATCATCACCTAGGCTGGTTTGCCCACATCCATACAGTTACACATTTAAATCCACATAAAAATGTAGTCTGGTGTTTCTACAGGCATACACAAAAATGCACACACAACCCCTCCACATAAGTGTGCCCAGCCACCAGTTACGCCAACTCACCACAGCCCCATGTCCTTGACACGCTTACCAAGGGGAATCGGAAATTGACGTACTCCTGCATGTCACCTCTAATTAACCGTCTCTAGTGTGTCGCTGGTTCAATTCCCTGACAAGCATCCATCAGGGACTGTGAGAGTAGGGCATAGTTGGGCTGTGCAGCAGAAGCTGAACGATAAGTGACGGTGATGTAATATTTGGAATCAACTTGAGAAAGCGCACTCGGCAGAGTTGAAATGCATTTGTCATTCATAGATTTGATTAAGGAAAAGACAATAGTTTAATTAAGAGTGTCAGTCATTCTGAGTCTTCTTCTTCATTAAGAGCTCCCCGGCTCGATGTGGTCACGTGCTTTCACGCTCTACTGTGCAAGTACAGGGATTTGTCTTCAAATGTGACTCAACATTTTTAGTTTCACATAAGATTTGATAGAAAGCTTGATCATCTGCCATACACATCAGTCACAAAATCAACATCTGCTACCTTCTGTTGTTGATTTACGTATTTAAAACTATTTCTCAATTGATTCTTGCATATAGTCTGTTAAATCTTGTATATTTCAGTAGCAGTTTGCATAGAACTGGATCAAGCATTCCAGTGGCCTGGCCTGCTTTGGCTTCTCTTTTTAGGCCAAACAGCCACATGGAAAAAAAAAGATATGAAACTTTAAATAGCGGTTTGACTATGTGTGTTAATAGAATCGGTTTAAAGTACAGAGCTTGATCCTAAGATAGTTTATTTTGTTTATTTCAACCACTCCAAAGGAAGCCAGTACCTTCTGGCAGCTAAATACATAGTTAATATGATGGATTGTTATCCCCGCAGCACTGTGGGACTATTAACATTCCATAGGAAATATATTGTGAAAGACTGCAAAGATCTGAGTCTGACACTGAAAAGATATAATAGATCAGCCTCACCAAGTTTGTGTAACAGAAAATTTCAGGGTTTTTTTTTTAACTTTGCTTTGATAAATACATAAACTCATTTTGAATTTCTACTTTTGCTTGTATTTGCTTGTGTGTTTATGTACAGCAACACCTGCAGGAGTTTTATAAGAAACAACAGGAACAGCTTCATCTGCAGCTTCTGCAGCAGCAACACCCTGGCAAGCAGGCTAAAGAGGTAGGTGCACACCCGGGGACATAACATAGTAATGTAGCCTCATGGGGAAATGATGGTGAATGTGTGCGTGTAGATTCTCTATAGATAGTAATAAGCACCATAAAACAGACAGATTTGTTGTTCTAGAAATAAAGTAATTAAGCGGGCTAACCCGGAGGTATAATACTACAATAAGCCCACAGCATACACATGCAGTGCTGGCTATTCTCCTCTGATTCCTGCTAGCATTATACAGTATGGAGATCCAGTTAAAGACAGTTTCATGTCTCGTCTGTATTCACACATGCTCACACAAGTCAAAGGGTGCTGCAGCCACCTCATTAATGAAGTGTTTCTGCGGGCACACAAACACATGCAGCACCTCTGAAGTTGCAATGTGCATCGCTCATAAATCACAATGACAGGCAGCCGGTCGACAGACATGCCTCCGTCTTGTTCTCTTTGGATGTCACGGAGCAGTAGAGGAGCATGACAGCCTCAGACACATTTGCGTAACAGCGTCGGTCCAGGTCTAGAGCCACGGCCAGGCAATTCTGTGGGAACGGCTAAATTGATTCAAAAATGGGTATCACATAAACACGCGCGTTCTGTCTTTCTTTTTCATCTCCCTCTCTCTCTCTCTCCTCAAGCAGCCCATTATGCTGCCCTTACAGGAAGTCACAACTGACCTCCCGGCGGCTTTGTTTCTGTTTGGATTTGTGAATAGAGTTTTTCAGGAGGCTCGCCATCAAATATGGAATAGAAATTGCTCCCTTATTTCTCTTGAGGCAGAGGAGAGGTTTGTGGGGGGGGTGGGGGGCAAACCGCCTCCCGCCACCACTCCATTATGCAGCCTGTTTTCCAGTGAGCGCATCACAGGTTTTATCCCCCAAACCCACCCAACCCCTCTCCTTCTCTCAGTCCCTCAGTCTCCATACTTTTCTAGGTACACCATCACTAGCATACAGAAACGTGACAACAAAAACTGGCCTCTGTGGTTAAAGCATTACATATGCACAGCTAACTGGAAATACAGAAAAGTATACCCCATTAAGTCTCAGTGAATGTGCACTTGCAGCCAATCATTACCTGAGATTTTTGCTTCCTAATAGGTGTTTGCAGTACGGCTGTGTTTCAGAGCTCAGAGCCAACTGCTTTTGTCTCTCTCTAAATTCACTCCCTTTCTCAGTTGTTTTGCAGCGGTGGCTGAGTTTGATGTTTTTCATTTTGTTGTTGTTTTTGTTTTTGTCTTTGTTTTTTTTCTTCTTTTTTTGCACAAAGCTTACGCAATTGCCTGTCTGGCCCAGCGATAAACAACTCTGTGAGCCAACAAGGAGGGCTGAGAGGGAGTGGAATGGGGGGGTGTAGTGCAGTGGATGTGTGTTTGTGTTTGTGCGTGTTTGTGTCTATGCATTCACATGCAGCTTTAAATCTCTCTCTGCTAGTTCCCTCTGGTCACATAAGCTGTAACAGACCATCAGTGAAGGCGAGACAATTAACTATCAGGGGTGGTGGTGGGGGGGATTATACCAGAGGCTTAGTATCATACACAATCACAAGCCACATACACTGACAGGCTTGAGAGCTGGTATATCAGCATAGCTTTGTTTGTGTGTGTGTGTGTGTGTGTGTGTGTGCTCAAAGACATGAACATACACAAAGACAGGAGAAGAAGGTGGTACAGCCCAAAAAAAAACCAGGAGGAAAGACTAAGTGAGCACAGACAGAGAGGGAGAGAGCGTGTAGAGAAGCAGAAGAAGAAGCAGAGAGGTGTAGCTAAGGTCACAGCAGAGGCGACTGAGTGCACACTCTTCACGCACAAACAGCGCTCCGGCTCCTCTGTCCTCTCCCGCTCACTCAGTTGTTAATTCGTCTGTAATTTTCCCTCCTCTCCTCTTCACTCCTCTCTTGCTCCTCTCCTCTTCCTCCTCCTCGCTCTCTCTCTCTCTCTATAGCAACAGCAGCAGCAGCAGCAGCTGGCCGCCCAGCAGCTCGTCTTCCAGCAGCAGCTCCTGCAGATGCAGCAGCTCCAACAGCAGCAGCACCTGCTCAACATGCAGCGGCAGGGCCTGCTCACGCTGCCTGGTCCTGCTCCGGGCCAAGCCGCCCTGCCCGGACAAACCCTACCCCCACCAGGTAAGAGGAGGAGGAGAGCGGAGGAGGAGTGGTGGGAAGAAGAGGGAGCAGGGAGGTAGTTGCGTTGATATTAAGCACGTGACTCGCAGCAGTAGTCACATACTTCCTGTATTTTTGTCTACTGGTGCTGTTCACAGTCTGGCTCTGTTTTATTGTTCCTTCCGGCTGTCTAGTGTCTCCAAGCCCATCTGTCCTACTACTCATCTGTCTTTCTGTCCTGTCTGTCATTTTCTAATTGGTATGCCGCTGTGTCTCTCATACGTTATCTTTAAGTATGTCTGTCTGTCTGCCTTCCCTTCATTGGTATGCTCTTCTACCATTCACTTTGTCCTTAACTCTCCTCATGATTGTTTTTAGTCTTCTGCTCTTCCTTTCTCTTCCACTCTTTTCTCATCTGATTATGGCTTTCTCTGTCTTCCTCTGTTCCTCTCTCAGCTGTGCTCTGCCTCTGTTTGTTGTTTTTCCATCTCTGTTTCTATTCCCTCACTCCCCAACTCCCCCTCCTTCTTTCAGAGGTTGTTGTTGTTGTTTTTGTTTACTGCCTTTACTGAGAACAAAGGAGAGGCAAAAGAGAAGAATAAAAAGACAAGCGAGAGAGAGAGAGAGAGGAGGAGAGAGCAGGCTCCATTTTTAGTTTTTTCCCCTTCCTAGCCAAGTAAACACCTATGTTTGTTGTTTACCACCAAAATGGCGCAGACGAAAACAACAGGCAGGAAGATGTTAGGAGGAAATGAAAGGAAACTGCTTAATTCTGTGCCGAGCTGAAAAAGCAGCAGTTGACAAAGCTTGTTGTTTTTAGGTGGAACATACTCATATTCAGTATAATCAGTCTCTTTTTTTTCTGTAGTTTTACTCATTGGACACACACGAGTCGTTGTGCGTCAGAGCTACACAAGTGATTCATAACCAGCTTAAAACCAGTATTTGACTGTGCAGAGAAGACTGTACGTGGCTTCAATAAACAGGAAACTGTGATTTCATATTCGAGTTTGCCCTTGCTGAGAGCAGGGCCTTCAGTCATGCAGCTGTATGGAATTTCTCTGGCTGTTGAATAATCCATACAGAGCTAAGCTTTTGTCCTGTAAACACAGAGTGCAATGCATCATAAACTGAAAAGCACAATGTGCAAGTGAGAGCTAATAACACAGCTTGGATTCTTTTCTTTTTTTTGTATTAAGTATTAAGTTGAGCAACTTTATTAATTCAGTATACTTTCTCTGTTCCCTTATCTATTTCTCTCTCCATCTCCTTCTTGACGTCTCTAGCTGGATTGAGCCCCGCAGAGCTCCAGCAGTTGTGGAAGGACGTTACCGGAGGCGGCGGTCACGGAATGGAGGACAACGGCATCAAACACAGCAGCGGCACTGGCGCCGCCGCCACCCACGCCGGCGGTTTAGACCTGTCCACTAACAACTCTTCTTCAACTACCTCCTCCTCCAATCCCGCCAAAGCATCGCCGCCCATCTCTCACCATTCCATCGCCAACGGACAGTCTCCCGCCCTCAACCACAGGAGAGAGAGGGAAAGGGAAAGAGAACGGGAGCGAGAGAGGTAAACCAACTAAAACGCCACCCGCCACCTTTTTGACGCATCACAGAGGAAGAAGCAAGGGAAGATGAAAAGTTTACAGCACCCGCACTCTTCACACGAGCTTGTTTGTTGCCGTGCCACGATTGAACACATCAAAACGAGGCACTCGACAACAAGCCGTCGTCGCTTCAGGGAAAGCTGGGCGTTTTGTTTATTTATTCAAAAGTTTATTAGTGTCTTAAGGAAAAAAAAAAATAAGAGCCTTGTTCTCCCGGGGGACCATGCGTTCAGTTGAACACACTTAGCTTGCACACACATATCAAAAGCGGGGAGACGACGCCATGCAGCCAGGCGCACTTACAACAAGCGTCTCTGGCAGAGAAGACAAGGTAACCCCCTTGTACATTAAGTATTTAGTGCTTTCTTTCTTTTTTCTCTTTTGAAAATTACCTTCCATGCTTGCTTGTCATGTAAACAGAATACGTGATGCCTTGAGTGGCGTTTCCAGGATGTTTATCCTTGTGATGCCGTCTTTTATAAATGCATCCAGCACCGAAACACTGACTGTTCACATATCTGCCTATCTGGCCCATGCATTATTCAAAGGCTTTTCTTGGGCGATATTATAATAAGGACTTAGGGTGTAGCGGTGTGTGTGTGTGTGTCTGTGTCTGTGTAGATGCTCGGTACAAACTCACACTGGAGGTGGAAGTGCTGTGTAATTGGTTTAAAGTAGATGCTATCTCTCCAGTACCACTAAAAGGAGGCTTGAAAAAGATATCTTTAGAAGGAAGACAGAGGGAAAGAGAGAGGAAAGGAATGGATAAGAAGAGAAGGAAGAAAGGAAGGGAAAAAAAAGACTTTATCTGCTTGTGTCCCGAGGGGTGTGTGGTGTCTCATAATGATCGAACAAGGAGTATTGTCAGGAGCACTGCTTACTAACACGCCATGGATCGATGAGGGGAAAGCCCCGCTGTAAAACGCAGCGTGAGCTCTGCCTGCACTAAGACACACAGGCATGAATGCATGTAGCCATCGACCACACACATGCATGCACATGTGTAACCTATATGCAGACAAACACACGCTTAGACGCAGACTGTACATAACACACTCTCATACACATTTCCATACACACACACAGACACACTAGCGCCTGGCCTAAAAGGTTAAACTGTCATCTTTAATAGGATGTGCTGTCTAGGAAGGGTCGTAACTTATTTGGGTGCCATTTGAAAAACGCCAGAACACCCCTGCTCCCCTTGTCCTCAAAGAACATAAGTTACACAGAGTATTAATCTCCTGATGAAAATTATATGGCTGTCTGGATTTTTAATGTTTACTTGAAAGCCTCCACCCCTCCTCCCCATAATGGCTTTACAAGATGGGATGGTGACTACAGTGGAGACCAAACTAGATTTCCATCGGGGATGGTAGTTCAGCCTATTTCTCACACATTAGTCTTCGCCATCTTAATATAGTTATCCTGTAGTGATTATTTAAACCGAATGGCTGTTAGCCATCAACATCCCAGTTCCCAAATTTCCTTTTGATAAAGCTGCTGTTATTGCATTTCTCCCTTGCTTTCTCTCTGTCTGATTTAGCCTTGGTTATTCATCACATGAATTGCTGAATTAGTGCTCTGACCTCTTTCAGCGTGTCTTTAATCTGCTATTTCCCGTTTCTTGTTTGCTCATTTTTTTGGGCCCGCCTCTAGTTCACTACACGAAGAAAGTGGAGGGACTCACCCCCTGTATGGTCACGGTGTGTGCAAGTGGCCCGGCTGTGAGAACATCTGTGAAGACTTTGGACAGTTTTTGAAGTAAGGACATGCTCTAATACAAATACGTAATACTGGAAATAACATATATTATAAATATACTAATATACTGAGTGTAGCAGTAGTTCAGGCAAGCTGAAAAGTCCGTTTTCGCTGCCATCCTCCCTGATCAGTTGATCCTAGCGCCAGCCCAAAGCATCTGATGCCACACATCTCAAACAGGGTGTGCTGTTTAAGCATTTTTAGCCTGAATACAGTTGCTGTCCCTCTGCAAGTTGCTTTGCAACCCACATCCCTCGAGGTAGTGCTGTTTCTTCTTCCTGCCTCCTGCTTTCCAGGTGTGCGTGTGAGGAAGGGTGGGGAGCTCCCAGAACAGAGCCATAATAACACATAAAAATGACTGAAGATGGAAATAACAATCTCTGAAAGCGATCCCCTTCAGTACAGTGCTTGGTCTTTCTGTGGGGGCCTAACAAAGAAAACATCACTGCTTTTCACAGAGCCCATTTTGACCTTATAGACAGCTAGTTGACAGGGTTTCGCTCTAGCAGCGCAGGATTCAAACCAACTCTGGTCCATAACAAATTTTCCTTCCTGGCGTGGAGGGGCCTGATAGGTTTGTGAAAAAGCGTCAAAAGCTAATGGCAACTCGCACGGCCGCACACTTACCTCCACAACAAAGGCCCCCATTCACTGTTGTCATGGTGCAGGCGCCAGAGCGAATGGACTCTTCATGCTCCATCAACAATTTAGTTAATTAGCTCATTTGTAATTGGCCGGCTTTGTTGCCAGGATGTTAGTGGGGGGACATCAAAGGAAGAAGGTGTTTGCAGCACTGCCGATTACAGGTTATCACATTGCCACTCACTGAGAGTCTCCCTCTGCCTCTCTCTCTCTCTCTCTCACTCTTTCCCCGGCTCCCTGCTCTCACACAGAGAAGAAAAGAAAGGGGAAAGCTTTAATTTGAATATTCTAATTAGATTTGTAATTAACTGTGAAATAACGATCTGGTGAGTGTTTTTCATGGGCTGTAAATGTCCATGTGAATTTGCACAAACTCTTAAAATCAGGACATTGTTCTGGCTTATTTTCCAAATTATGCATTTTTCTACTGTAGTGGCTGTAAAGTTACAAAAGGCTTTAAAAAAACAGTCATATTTAGGTCAGGCTTTGCTAATTCAATGCCGGCTTGTGAATTAAAGCTAAAAGGTGTATCTGTAAAATGAAATGACACTAATAAACATGGTGTTTACCTGTCTTTCAAAGACAGAGGGAGGCAGTACATTAGACTCCATTTTCACACACTGCCAAGGCATAAAATCACTTAAAGGCCCCATTATTGACGGCAGTGGAGTTCAATGAATCACAGTCTGACAAGTGTGTTTGCTAATCCCTTGTGGAAAATGTGCCGCATACATGTCAATGCCAATACCAGTGCTCTAGAGTGAGCATGGCATAACCATAAGCATCATCTAGTCATGCTTATGAAAAGCCAAATGCATGTGTACAATCCATTGTCCAGCCTGGAATACATGTACGGCAGTCCAGGTAGAAGAGTTTGCCTTGCAGCTTGAGAACAGATGTGTGCGTGATAAGGCAAGCCTCTATCGGATTAGCAGATTTTCTGATATCTTGTCCTATCACCTTAGTACACTTACTTACAGAAGACATCAGTCTATTTCTTGGCACTGTATGCTCCGTTCACGCTCAAACACACGTAAGTCTGTGTGCTGTAAGGATACTGTGTCTAGGTGGCTTAGCTGGTTATTTAGGTGAGGGGCATAGATACAGTGTGTGTAAAGCCATGTGCCTGCGAATAAGCTGGTAAGCCAATGCAAAAGGATGCATGGCTGTAAAGACAAACTGAGAGAGCTCGACAGATAGAGGGAAAATGGGTAGATTTCATACTTGAAAGCGAGTGCACAGGTTGGCAGACGGTTTTGTAAGAACACTTGCCAGAACATTGGCTGCTACAAAACGGAAAACACACACACACACACCACTGCAAGTCAGAGGCTGGCTCTATACTGTAACCCAGCCAGAACATGAAAACAGACACCAACAAAGAAGGCAGACTCGTCATCAGAACAAAGATGGCTGCTCGGTGGCGTGCCTCGGAGCAGTGATTGTAGGTGTCAGAGGGAGTCCTTTCATGTTTCCGGAGATGCCAGTCGACGACACACACTGACGCACAGATGCACTCACACACAAGTGCAGTTTAAACGGGGTTACATAAAGTGGGTGTCAGATGTAGATGACAGTTTAGATGTTGGTACTTGGGTGTGGGTTATGTATGCAGGGAGGTGGGAGCGGAAGGGGGAGAGGGGGCCCGAGTCAAGCTGGCGTCTCGTAGCTCGCTGTAGGAGCTCGGCTCAGCGGCGGTGACACGTTTAGTCATCTATTGTTTTGTTCCATGAAGAAACTTGTCAAGATCAGCATTTAATAGCTCTTCAGTGCGCTTTTAAGTGTTCTCACCTGGAAAAGGTAGCCGCGAGGTGGCTGGCACCCTGAATTAGCTCTGTGAAGTTCAAAATGAAATAATATTGCTGGGAATGTTTCTCCGAGTGGTGGGTGTTGCTGCTTTGTGGGTGTGTTTGTGTTAGTTACACGAGAAAGACAGAGAAAGAAACATGCTGTTAGGTTGCGTGCCAGGGCTATTTTGGTGGGAGCCTTTTTGGTAAACAGAAGAGACAGAAAATGCAATTAATACCTGTAAATGTGGATGTTTTATTTGTATAATTTGTCAGTACAATAAATGCCTCCAGCTTACTGCAGATTTTTATAGCGCTTTAAAAAAACAAAGCTTGAACACATCAAATGTGTTCTTCTCCTGTACATGCACGTCTTGTCCCGCCTACTTTGGCTTTTTTCCCCCCCTCAGTAATATACCTGCAAATGCATACTTGTTCTCACTCACACACAGTTAACTGTTACACTCTCCGTCACCATTCTGCTCTTCCTATTACGGGCAGGAAGGCAGGCTCCATGTTAAAATGGTGAGCTCAGCCGCTAACCTAGTGTCTGTAACCCACTACTAATTAAACCCACAAGGCATCAGGCAAGTGTCTTTGTCTCTATATAATGTGCACATACACACACTGTAGAGGCAGGCACCTCAGTCAGGCAGGCCCCCCGGCCCCTTTGGATAGGTAAGCTTGCTTTTACCACTCCACATGTCTGCTGCACCGTGACAAGACCTTTAAAAGGGAGGGCACCGACACCAAGGAGACAGTGTGAGAGGATGTGTGTGTAAATATGCATGCTGTGGATATCAGGTTTTCTCAATTTGTGTACAGTTATGGAGGCCAACTTTCTGTGCTGAGCCCCTGATAATACACACAGTCAATTAGCAAAAGTGTATCATCCATATATTCTGGACTTGAGCAGATTTATTATCAGGCCCTTAGTGGACACTGATGGCTTATACATATTCATGTACCCAGCTACTGGGAAAAACCTTTGAGATGTTTTGTTCCCCTCTCTTTTAGAGAAAAGAGAAACTGCAGACTCCAATAAAAACGAGTCTTTATGTGAGAGTTAAAAACAGCTGTGCATCACTCCTCCCACAGTCTGTGTTCATCAGTCTCTTTATCTCTTTATTTGCTTTGATTTCGCTACCTTGGCTACATATTTCACTCTGCAACACTGTTCTCTACGCTGCTCTTACATTCCTTTCATCACACGGGTAATCCTCAGAAATCCGTGTTTCTCTAGAATGGCTCGTGGACAGTAAGGCTCGTATTCTTTATCTCAAAGTGTGAGTAGTTTTATCTGAATGCTACATTTTAGATCAATTCTCTTATTTGCCCTCAAAATGTACAACTCCATCAGAATGCTTCAATTTGGTTACAAGTGAGGAAGCCAAAGTCAGTTAACAACTCAGGAATAATGAAATAAAATGAGACATAAGATTAATAGAGAGATTTCTGTTTAATGAAAGAAGACAAGAGAAGTTCATAGTTCAGAGAGGACAGAAACACAGTCATCTATTTTTCCACATTTCAGTAAATACAGCGTTCTTTCATTATTTCTTCCTGTCTGCCCATCTGCGTCTGCCCCCGCCCTTCCTTTCTGTCTTTGCGTGGCATTATTAATGCACAGTAGGACATACAGCCATTTGAATATTTCATAAATGCATGTAGTAATCTTCCTGTAATTGTCTTGCTAACTGGCCAGCAGTAGGATGAGCACATGCAGCAAGCTGCAACTGTCTGAAGGACTTCCACAAGGCCTCCAAGCACAAACACATGCAAAATGTTAGATAAACAAGCTTCTTGTTGATGAGAGGCAAGCTTAATAAAGATTTCCCCCTTTCTCTTTCTCTCTGTCTCTTTTTCTTTTTTTTTGTAAAGCGGTATCTTCAGGGACAGCGAGCAGCCTGCTCTGTGCTTTTGAAGCAGCTGTAATTCATGACACACGCCATACATCAAGTGCATAAGATAGCATTATGGGCAGTGAAATGAAAAGGGTATTTGCAACATTAGTTCCCTCATCCTGCGAGGGACGTGATTAAATGATTAATGAAATGCCCCCTTTTTGCATGCGCATTCTGAAACAGCAATTAGGCACAGGGCTGAGGAGATCCACCAGTTCGTCCCTTCCCTTTCTGCTGCTATCCCTCATCCGTCCCTCTCCGCGCCCCCCCTCCCCCCACTTTTTTTTTAATGTTACCTCATTTTTGATTTATAATGAAAAATTTCTGAGCATTAGACCTGAAATGGTTATAAAAGTATAAGCAGGGACAGAATGGAATGGTTTTAAATGTGCACAGGCTAATTGAAAGGTACAGAGCTATTGTGATTACAAATGTTCTATTCAGGTTTTGATTGGCAGGTCGGGAGGAAGCAGCTCAGTGAGTTGGCTTGTTTTGCACGTTGCAGATAAACAAGAAGTGAGGCTTTTGGAAGAAAATAAAGGAATACGGGGTTTGTAGGGGGGGCGGGTTTATTTCTGTGTATTTGTGTATCTATTTATTTTTTTATATGTGCCAATCAGTGTTTGTGCAAGCTCATGATAATGTAAGCAAGCGTGTGTGTTCTTAGATAAAGTGAAAGCCAGCGAGAGAGATTTTGTACTCCCTCTAATGCACTGGAGGCAGAGCTGTAAATGATCATTGAAGGGTCTGCAAGCTAACCTATAATTACTGGAGATAAAGTGGCAGCTCTGGCATTTCATAAGCATGTCTCCTCAAAGCTTGCTTTGTGAGTTTGTCACCAATGATCATTTAGATAGAGGCTCATTACCCAGCATCACAACACTTTAGAAACCCCCGTTTTGCCCCATATTGGTGTTGCTCTGAGTGTGTGTGTGTGCGTGTGTGTGTGTCTGCATATGTGCGCTTTACCAAGAATAAAGGTCTATCCTAATGGTGGAGCTTTTGTGTCCTACAGACGAAATCCAATCAAGGCAAAAACCCTCATTGACTGTTATGGCTGTCTGGCTGCCTTTTTTTCTTTTAATGAGGCGAACACACCAGATACATTTAATATGTCTGCTGCTAGATAATGCACCTTCAAGCAAAGAGCCGCTTTTGTGTGTCAAATGTTGCTGGTGTTAAATCGTGAGTATTGTTTTCGGTAAACGAAGGAGACAAAGCTATTCTGCTGGCCCAGCATCTTTTATTCTCTGTAGAAAGCGGCGCTCGGGGTGGCACTGAAGTTAGCCATCTAAACTGGCGCAGGCCTATTGTCATGTTAAACATGGCACCACACACCGTCATGTTACTTCTAATTACCTCATTTCAGAGTGGAACAATGGGCCTGTACGGGATCCTATAGATAATTATCCCAGTATAGAAATATTATCATCTAAATAAAACAGTGCTGAAGTTGATACTGTAATTATCATCCTCTGAAATTTTGATCATGGTGAAAATGAATTTCGCTTGCTGCTTTCTTCGGGCTTGAAATATCGTATGGATTTTAAAGTTGGCTTGTCATCTCTTCTCCTCCACCGCCAGGCACCTAAACAGCGAGCACGCCCTCGACGATCGGAGCACGGCTCAGTGTAGAGTCCAGATGCAGGTCGTACAGCAGCTAGAAATACAGGTACGTTTTCTTTCTGATAATAAAGGATAAAAAACGGGGGGAAGAAGTCTCGCATATCGTTTTATTTTACAAGACTGAACTTAACTCGTGAATCAGCCATTCAAAACTTTATGTTCTGAAAGTTGCGTGTGCGAGAGGAAGGCCATATTGTGGTCTGCTTAATACTTCCAGACAAGCAGGACCTGCTGAATTCAACAAAGCCACTAAACAAAGGAATCCTCGGGCCTTACAACTAAAGTCATTATGGCTGTTTTAATTGAATTAAGCGTATGCTTTATTTTCTCTTCCTTTCTTTTTCTTTCCAATTAATAGCAAACGCATCTCTCCTAGTCTGCTGTGTTAATTAACTGCACTTTGCACCTGAAGAAAGCTCAAAAGGAGGGAACTATTTTCAGTAGGTGGAGCGTGACCTTATTAAGAAGTCATGCTGGCTAGATAATGAGAGCGCTGATTGAGCGACATTATTACTCAGCACTGCCAACAAGCGCTGCTTTTCCTTTAGAAACAAATATTTCAAACTGGGTACAAACTCAGTGCCAGCTGAAACAGTCAGTCTGCTCGGTGGTTTCTTTATGGTGGTTCGTTAAGACTTGAGCAGTTCTCCCAAGCGAATGAAGTTAGTTTTATTAATCAGCTCCTTTGTACTAAAAAAATAATAATAATTGAGGGTATACAGTGTAAATTCTAACCCCCTCAGCCAGTCTGGGCCTGCGTAAAAACACAAGCATCTCTCCATCCTTTCTGGTTTGATAAATTGTTTTTTTTAAGTAAATAAATTGTGCAAAATAGAAAAAAAAAAGATCCAAGCTGTTTATCAAATATGTATTCATTTTCTGTCCAAGCTACTGAAGCTTGCTCTTTACAGTGTGACCAATTACAGCGATACACTTGTGTTGCCTGTCCTGTCTCTTGTCTTCTTTGTCTTCTCTTTCATTCCTGACTCCCACCATCACTCCTTCTCTTTTTTTTTTTCCTCGAGAGCCGTCACTAGTAATGAGGCCCAGCGTCTGTGTATGCGCGCACACCTACTTGCTTGTCTGTTTCTCTCCGCGTTTGATCCGTGTGTGTATGTATTAAGGGCGTGAGAGGGTTCAGGCTTTCACATGGTCCAGTCCCTGTCACTCCTTGTGAATTAGATTGATGATAGGCAATGGCTGGAGCAACTAACTGGACCGGGGAGGCGGGGCCGCCTGGCACCCTGTTTGGAAGACCTCTTCACCTCTCAGCAGCTGCTGGCTGCGCTCCATCCCCCTAACAGTGTCCACAGGACTTTGAGCAGACACTCAGGACCACCTAATTTATGGCCTCGCCAGCTTGTTACTGTCAGAGCCTCTCTGACCTAAATTCTGCTATTGACAAAAAGATGAAATGCTATTTGTTTTGCCTGACCTGTCTGCACCTTCTCCCCCAGCCCCTCGTTTTCTACTTCTTTTACCTTTCGTGCTTTCTTTTTATTCATCTCCTCTTTTTCTTTTCTGTTCTTTTTCTCTCTACCAGACAAGTCTCGTGTCTCACCTTTGTTTATTTTCATTCGTCTGTGTATTCCCTCCTCTAATGTACTCTCTTCTTCTCTTAACAGCTTTCTAAAGAACGTGAGCGTCTTCAGGCGATGATGACCCACTTGCACATGCGGCCCTCAGAACCCAAGTCATCTCCCAAACCAGTGAGTGCATATTGCTTTGGATACTGTAAACAGGCTCGGCCATGAACGCAGAAAATGAACAGTTTAACCGTGCAGCAGTTGTGCGAGTGAGTGACAGAAGATGAAAGGAGGGGAGGGGGAGGAATGGGATTTGTAATACAGAGTTACATCTGCTTCTTATCGGTTATTGTGCGCCGCGAGAGGACAATGGAGTTTGGAAGTGTATTAGATGGCGGAGCGGTGGAGTCCTTGGCTAAAACGCGGGGTCATTTCTTTGTGATAGATATAATAGCCAAAACAACCTGTTGGCTGCTGATGACTGTTTGGCTCAGTGGCTTGCAGCGGCACTCAAAAGTGAAATGGGAGAGGAGAAGACGTGTCATTTTAACAACAAACACCTGAAAATTACAGCTGAGTGCTGAAGATGATGTGGTGTTGACATAAATACCCAAAGCGAAGCTGAAATTGGTTACAGAAAAAAAAAGAAAATCCCAAATTGTAAACGGGGTCACCGACGGAGGCAAATGATGCCATTCTGGATTTACTTTCTCTCGCCTTTTACTTTTAGATTGAATGAAAATAAATGCATCTCTCCTAACCAGTGTTTGAATTTGATATTAAGATGATACATTTTTGCAAACATTATTTCCTTCCAATTTCAGACGTTTTGAAATATTTGAGAGCAAAACATTGTTAGCGTGTTTCTGCTGCTTAGTAAGTGCCTATTTTCAATAGAATAATTTTCCTCATCACCTCTCATCATAGAATGTAGATAATCACAAGATAGCATAATTATCCCATAATTCCATCAGGAATCAAACTCCCTTTTTATTATTCAATCTCTCTCTGTCTCTCTTCCTCTCCCTCTCTGTAGTTTTTTTTTTAATCTTCAAAACTCCAGCAGCTTGGTTCCATCTCGTCCAATAAAGAATTTGCAGCCTATAATCCATGCCTGAATATGAATGAATGATGCTAATGAAGTATTGCATTACATAAAGCACACATGAAAGAGCAGCTAATTGCATTTGATGGTGGGGGCAATTCAGACAGAATTCCTAAACGAACAGTTAAGTTCTCAATTTTGAGGATTCCCCGTTTTTTTTAAGGAGAGGTAATATGGAGATTTGTTGCAGGGAATAACATGCACAGGCGTGTTTCTGTTGCAAAAGCTAATAGATGGGACAAAAGAGAGCGTGATTGGCCGGTTTCCAATGGCAGCTCGAGTTTGCAGCCAGTAGAACTGCAGATGCAGGACAGAAAATCGACCCCACAGTTTGATAAAAATGAGCTGTCCACGCTGGCCTATCAGGGCTGAGAGTGAGTCCTATTTTTTCATTAGTGACGCCCGTGGCTAACTAATGCCAGATGAATACAAGACACTGGTTCACTGTCTCCAATATGACCCTATTCTACTTCATTAAATGCTACCTTTTGGCCATGCCAGTAGATGGATGCGAGTCAAAGTTAGCATTTCTCTTTCTCCCAACCTTGTGTATTCAAATGAGCGAGAGGTAACAAAGTGCTCACTTCTTCTGTTTGGCTGTAATCACTTCCACTTTGTAAAAATGGAACTCTACGCCACTAAGGCTCGAAGGCAAGGAGTCTGCAATGTTTATGTTTTAACATTATAAATATACAATACATCCCAATATTCATATACAAGGGCATTTATTTAGAATCTAGTTTGCATGTTTAGTGCACTTTTTCTGCCATACAGAACGTGAGTGTTTATCAGATACCCTGTTTTAAAAAAAATCCATCAAGTTCAGGTCTAATTCAGGGTCTAGTTAGCACGTATGTAACAGAATGCACGGAGAAAACAACATGAAACATTTCAAATCACACGCAAATTTGCACATTGCATACTTTGATGACGGCATAGCTGGCAAGGAAATGAATTGCTATTTTTATTGAAGGTGTCAGTTGTGTGTTTGTGCAGTGTGAGTCTGTCAAAAAAATAGTAAAACAGTGCTTAACAGTGAAAGACACAACAGGGAGCACTTGGAGTGTAATTAATGGTTTGTGTTCAGGTAAAGTGATGTTTAAAACATTAACTGGTACACGCTTTTAAAAAAAAGTAGATAATATTAGTAGTAGCTGTACACACTTGATCCGATCTATTAAAACAGGTTAATATGTACATTATTTCCATAACCTCTAAAGTTTCTTTCTCATTCCCCGTACTCATCCCTTGTCCCAGCCCATCACTACAGCAGCTCATTATAGCTAAGTGGGCATATAATTATCATGTGAAAACCACTACATCCACCGGAGTGTCTCAAACTTGACATTTTATCGTATTTATCAACACATGCCACAAATGACCGCCGGTACCTTCTCCTCAGCCTCGCTCCTCCATCTCTCAGTGCCTTCGGCGCCCTCATTCCCTTCCATCTTTCAAGTCACTTTTAATTCAAACTCTCGCAATGGATGCATTCCACTTGTAGATTCACAATTAAGGCAATTTGGTTTGAATATGTAACGATGTCATTACCATTCCGACTAAATTAGAGCAGAGACTAAAAGGTCAGTTAGGAATTTTCCAGTCGGTTAGAGCCTCTCACATGAGATTTGGGAAGGAAATGCAAAAGTGGTGGAAAAGCTGGACGATTAGCGAGCAGAGCTGGCAGCAGAGCCAGAGGTAAGCAGCGCTCTCCTCGCCTCTAATGTCAAAGGAGGGAAGGAGAGAACGACGCCAAGTGCACATGTGTGTGGAGTGGCTGTCACTGTCCGTGTAAATTCATTTAAGTGTCTTTTGTATGCTCACGCAAAGAAAGAACTCAAACTCCCACTTCCTATACTTCCTCATGCACTGAAAGTCACACTGAATTAAGGACAAAGAATCTATTACATTTGTAATCTTTCCTGGAGGAATACTAGCTTTCAGTTGTGTTGTTGGGTTGAATTTCTGTGATTGACTGTCCTCCTAACAGAGCAGTTTAGATTAGACTATAACCCGGACTATCAGGCTAGGCTTTTTTGTAGGGGGAAAAATACTTGCTTTATGATTCTTCATTAGGAATCTACACTGGCACACACTGAGTCATATACCTCTGTCACACTCAAGGCACACTGATAGTATCTCAAGCCTGGCCATGAAGAAAGTTTTATTGTGTAGCGACTACTTTGTTACAGTACTGTTACTGTTTTTGTTTCAGACGCCTGTCCTGAATTCTTCTCACTAACAAACTGCAGATCAGTTCAGACTAAACATAATGTAATTAGTTACTGTAGCAGTTGTTTAATGACATATGCACCACCCAGTGTTGAGATTTACAAATGCAGACAGTTTTAGTTAAAAGCAACATAATTAGTTGCAGTTTGACCCTGTGCATAGCACACTTTGTCCACGGAGTTGCTTTGATTTGCTAATAGTGTCTTCATTTAAATATATACAATCTGAAAGTGACAGGAGAGATTTTTTTTGCACTTTTTGGTTACATTATTTTGGTTAGTCTAGTATTGACAAATCAGAGTTGAGTATGAAACAGTCCCATTAAACACAAAAAGCGAGAAGTAGTTGGTAGAATACAATTACAAAATCACTGGATACAGTTTGACCAAAATGTATTTTTAAAACATATTTGGGCCTGTCGATCAGATAGTAGAGTTTGCAACCTGTACACAAAGGCTGAGAACTTCAACCCATCTTCTCCCTACTTTCCGATCACCCCGTCAACTAAAACTATCCAGGAAATAAATAATTTAGCCTTCCCCTTTTTTTGACACAGCTCAAATCTGTTGTAAGAAAAGTTGTGGTTAGAGACTAGGGTCAGACAGCCCATGTTGGCGAAAGCACTCCAACAGTGTAGAAAAAGAGTTTTGATATGCTCATTTCCTCAGTGCATAAGAATTATGGGTGGCTGCAGTGGGGTAAATGGAAAGGGAGGAAGGAAATGAGAGAGGGAGGGTGTGATAAATAGAGAGATAAAGAGAGATGGGGCCAGGATAACACGGAGGCTGATCGTTGGATAATCTCGAACAGCGTGCTCTAATTAGAATTCTTATGATACAATTTGGTGGTTGTAATTAGTGGAGATGGGCTGGCTCCTCTCCACGAGCCTTGTTAGTGGAAACACAGCTGTGTTAGAGAGGAGGAGAGCAGACACTCTGCTCTGTCAGAGAAACCACAAAATAATGCCTTCCTCCTCCTCCTTCCCACTCTTACCCCCCTCCCCCAAGTTGTTTCTGTCTCTTTCACGCTCTCCACCAATCGCATTCTGTCTTCCTCCATCGCAGCTCAACTTGGTGTCCAGCGTCACCATGTCCAAGAACCTGCCCTCGGCGTCACCCCCCAACTTACCTCAGACACCGACCACGCCCACAGCACCTATCACACCCATGGCTGCAATGCCCCACGTGCCATCGGTGCTGGGAGGAGCAAACGTCCCCAGCATGGGAGCCATGCGCAGACGCCACTCGGACAAATATTCCATGCCTTTGTCGTCAGGTAGGACCAACTACTCAGCGCAGCACCTAACACAGATATCAAAATACTTCCAGTTACTGTAAAATTCAATTCCTGATTGAATTTAACATGAAGTGGCTTATTCTCATTTTTATACATTTTATATATTAGTTATTTGACATAAACTAGAATGCCACTTATCTAGTTTAGGGTACGTTTCTGTTTTTATCTAATGAAAAAATGATGTTCAATACCCAGAGCCCTGGACTATTAATAGTAATTTCAACTAATCATATTCTAGCAGTTTAGCACACACACACAGACATGAAAGTGAACACACACACACACACACACAACTGACATAAACGCATACCCACAAACCGCAGAGGCTTGTTGGTCTTACCAGTGTGAGCTGTCTGGTGGTGGGTTTATAAAAGCAAGCGTGTGTTTAATCACTCTATATGTAAATAGACAAGAACTTCCTCTGTGCATAAATATTACATGAATGTTAATTAAGTTCAAATAATGGTGGGAAAAAAAAATACAATATTTATTACATTAAGACATTCAATGTGTTAAGCTTTGCATTTTAAACGGGACGTCTTTTGATGTTTATATTTACTCTCTGTGTTTAGTGTGGAGCAACATAAATTATTCAACTTGAGCCTAACTAACTACACGGATTTCATTTTATGGGATGTATTAGTGTTTAAGATCTCTCACGAGAGAGATTAATTAAAAATGCATTTTGTTAGACATGGAAAATGTTGATTTGATGTGCCCCCTTTCTCTGTCAACCCCCCTCCATCCCCATCTCCACCCCAATCCTTACCCCCACCCCATTTTAATTTGATGTAACCTTGAGTAAATGCAATACCTAAAGGAATAAAATGTGCCAATTATTTCAGGTGGTGACACAGTATTTATTTTTCCAGAGATTGCCCCAAACTATGAGTTTTATAAGAACGCAGATGTCAGACCGCCATTTACTTATGCAACCCTCATAAGACAGGTGAGTGGGAAATAAATTAACTTTGCCTGATTAGATTAAAATTAATTGCTCCATGAATCGTGGCAGCTCTGCCTCTTTCCTCTCTGTCTGTTGTTGTATGCGTGTCAGTTACCTGGTCTCGTTAGTCAACCGTTATTTGATGTCATCTCATTTCAGGCTATCATGGACTCTGCTGACATGCAGTTAACACTTAATGAAATCTACAGCTGGTTCACGCGCACGTTCGCTTACTTCAGACGCAATGCTGCAACTTGGAAGGTAACCTTCACGAACACCCCTCTTCACCCTCCCGTGCACTTTCACTCCCATCACAGCAAAGCCTGCTCCTTCCTCCCGCTCAAGTCAAACACAAAACCTCAAGAAAGCATATATTTACTCAGCACAGAGCGATTAGCACTCCTCTCCCCTTTCCTTCCAACCTCTGTCTTGAATGGAGCCCTTTTCTTCCTCTTATTTATTTTTTCCACCGTTCTGCCTTTTCTGTTTAGAAATGACAGGCGAAAGAATTATTCTCCCCTCAGATATCGTTTTCTAATTCGGTGCAATTAATAGCGGAGGCTTGGCGTGGAGAGGAGAGGGCTCTGACGCACTAATTATACAGCAGCCACTCCATCATCAGCACCTTTTGTTAAGAGATACACCCCTCCTCCTAGTCCCGAAAACCACCTTCTCTCGCATATCATTGGTTAATTAGGAAGAAAGATGGCTGTTTGCCTGTTAACCAGTTCTCCACTGTGCAGAGGCCAAAGATGCATGCACACAGGAACTCAATGTACACGTGAGCACATACATTGTGCCTGTGAGAGGGGTTAAGAGTGTGGAACTAAAGCAAGGGGGCAAAGTGAGAACTGGCCTGTCATGGAGGGAGCACTCTTTATTTACCCACACAAAAGGGCCCATTTGTATATCTGTCCCTACAACTTTATTGTCCTGTCTCCCCAACACAAAGATGGTGAAAAATATTTTTCCTGCAGCACATGTTTTAAGCAGAAGTGTGCCTGTCTGCTGATAAAGAAA